TCGTGGCCGAATGGGATTTGGTGTGCGATCGTGCCATACAACGCACCTCAGCACAGGTGGCACTTTCTTTAGGAAAATTGTTTGGTTCCTTCTCTTTCGGCGTTTTAGCGGATAAGTAAGTATATACATATGTACATATTTAGTAATTATGAAGTTATGCTACAATAATATCACTATTATTGCATTGCTTTAAAGATTTGGGCGCAAGGCTTCCTTCACATTGGGCGCTGCCTTTTTTATAGTCGCCAGCCTTTTATGCACATTTTCGCCTTGGTATGAGCTCTTCTTAGCCGGCCGTTTCGGTTTGGGTGCTGCGTCATCGGGCCTTTTTTATCCTGCTTTCACAATGAGTAAATAAAAATTGCTTATAATAACTTTTATACAAGTAACTGCATTACACATGAAATTTATTATCTTTCAGTTGTGGAAAATATCTGCCTGCGTCATCGTTCCTGGATGTCAATCGCTTTTTCGGCCTCTTATCCGATTGGCATGATCTTATTAGCCGTCGCTGCATATCTTGTGCCACAATGGCGCTATCTTCAGCTTACGCTCACAGTTCCAGCGCTGTTGTTGATTCTTAATTGCTGGTAAATCCGACGTTCTTTGTTATTTTTTTTAATATGTATTTTATTGTTGAAATTTCATTCATTGACTGGTAAATCCGACTTTTTTGTTGTTTTTTTTAAATATTTTATTGTTAAAATTTCATTCATGACTTCATGATGATTTTTGCTAAAATTTAATATTTCTTTTATTTTTCTTTTAATATCATTAATGCCTTTGTTTGTTGACCGTGATTGTTGGAATTGCTACTGCTGCGTCCCACTGTCGTTGTGTTGTTTCGTTGTTGCTTTGCACTTTGCCACGCTGTGTTCAGCCTAATGAATGAATCGCCACGTTGGCTTATAACGAAGAAACGCTACGATCAAGCCTACAGAATATTATTCAAGCAAAAGTGCCATTATGAAGTGAAGAAAGAATCCATTGAGGCTATCACCGATAAGGAAGCTGTAAGTTCTCATGAATAAGGTTGATTATGTATGTACAATACATAAGTACAATACTACATATGTACTTATTACATATTATGTATTTAGGAGCAGGAAACGATAATTCTTAAAACACTCAACAAATACACAATACCCTGATGTCACTTGTTGGCTGAAAAAAAAACATAATCCAAATGTACATATATCTTGGTACATTATACTGCATCACCAAAAAAAGTTGCATTATTTTGATTCCGTTGGAAAAATTTGTTTAATATTTTTATGCCTGCACCTTTAAAGAACTTTAAAAAACTTTTTTTTNAGCTCACGTAAATCTTAATACATATTTTTCCGAATTATTTTGGTAGAAGTCTTAGAATATTATAGATTCTATAATTTCAATGGAAACAAGTACCGTTTTTTTTGTATGGGGAGTGAGGCAGCCACAAAAAAAAGTTCGCCATACACCCCTGAGTAAAGTATTTCTGCAAAGCAATTTCAAAAAATTGTTGATGTTTTTTTTTGCAGAATTCCGAGACTAGTTCAAGACTATTTCGTAAACATAGCGCAAAAAGATCGGAATCATTTTGGGCCTAGTTCAGGACCATTTCGTGCCTGGTTTAGTCCCATTTTAAGACCATTTTGGGACTAGCGTGTAATCATTTTTAGGACTAATAAGGGAACTTTTCGGGACCATTTCAAAACTTGTCCGAGATCAAATCTGAACAAGTTCACGATTTTTTCGATCGTTTCGGGGCCTGCTCTGGTTCGTTTCGGTCGTAGTTCGGGATAATTCCTGTTTAGGACTATTTTGAAGCTATCTTAGTGCCGATTTGGGACTAGTTCTGGACCATTTGAGGCTAATTAAAAACTAGTTCGGGTTCATTTCGGAAATAGTTCAGGACCATTTCGGGATAGTTTGTGACTATTTCAGGACCATGTTAGACATTACCTATTTATGTAAATATGTATATAACTGAATCGCCTAACGCTTTGCCAAACCGTGGAGAAGTATTTATTTACGATGGTTCTTCACAATTTCTACAAAATTTTTATTTTTTTCTTATAAAAAACGTGGGAAACTTTCAGCGACCTGTAATTATTTTTTGTTGAAAAAAAACAGGTGCACATTTTTTCGATACTGAAAAAACCTAGATGTGAGATCATTAAAATTCAAAGGTACATACAGGCATACATATGTATTTCTATACATACACAATGTGTGCACATTAGGGTGCCTCACATTTCATTTAAAAACCAGCCAGTCATATGAATATCTTAACAAATTTTAATTTTCAATACATCAATGGAAGTGAAAGCATATTCCTTATTATTCTGGTAACTGATTTTATGGTGGCGACAAATTTTGGGGTCAAACAAATTACCAGACAATTTTTAAAATAAATAAAGCACGAAAATTGTTCCTTCTTTTATCTAGCTGGTGCCAATTAGAAACATCGGATGAAAGTAGAGGTATTTGCTGATCCTGTGAAGCAGATGGTGTTGGTCATTGTGCCATACACGTTTCGCGGGAATACCAAATTCAGATATTGCGGAATAAAGGCAACTTATTTTCATCATGTCGAACTCCTCCGAAATGACTCCCAGCAGCTCCTTCTCTACTTTCAAGGGAGGAGTGGGCGGAGCCGGGTTACTGAAAGAAGTGAGCAGTGAGCTTCTTCACATATGGATCAAAATTTTAAGTTAGGGTTGGTGCAGGGGTATTTTGCTGGGAGCCCTCCATCAACACTCTGTTCAGGCTTTCGAATTTCGGTAGTGTCTTTGAGGCGGAAATATCTGCAATCAAGGAAGCTATAGACGCACTACTGAAGAGTGTGTGACATAATATAGGGAGAGTAGCATGTGCCCCGAAGGTCTGGCCCCTCTATCAATCCAGCAGGCTCACTTCAGTGCTGGGCCGCAGTGCTATTGCGTTGGTTGGCCTTGAAATGCTATCACCGGGTTGCAAAATACTTGTGGCCTGCAGTGGACCGGGCGCGGTCAAAGGAGCTCCTTATGCTTGATAAACCTAAGCTCTCGTTATTGGTCAAGAGTCATACTGTCAAGAGGATGATGAGGTGGCAACATTTTGGCAGGCACTTCCTGACTTACCCTGGTGAGCTCTCCAGCATTCGAAATTTCGTAATCGGTTCTCGGCGTTTCGTTACATCCGTTAAGTTTTTTCGTGGTATTACAAAGGGCAATCTCCTAATTGTCCAAATGCGTCCTGTCTGGGCCAGCCACTTTAACCTTATCTAATGTTAATGATAATGAGAATTTATCAAAATGAGGCTTAATAATCATAGAAAGTAGGCCAGTGTCACTGGCACTGAGTGATTAGAAGTGCGTTCTACGTGCTACAACTTCGTAGAGCCTGGGTTCCATTGCTGGATCTAAATTAGGAAAAGTTTTTTTTTTAACAGCGGGGTTCACCTTAGTCAGCCAAACCACCGAGTGTATTTTGAAAAAGCTTCTCATACCTCAATTTCTGTAAAACACAGGGCGCACATTTTAATTATTATTAGTAAGCCAAAATTAGGAAAAAAACAATTATTAATTAAATCAAACTTTACATGAGCACTTATCTCTTTATCCAGGAAGCGCTGCCTGAACCGGAACTTTCACTTTGGACCAAGCTGAAAGAAGGTCCTCTCAAACAATTCAATGAACTGTTTGGCACTTGGAAAGTGCGCCGTCTCA